TGCATATATATGCATATGTGTGTGTTTAGGTACGTATGTATGTGTGTGTGTATGTGTGTGTTTGAATGTGTGTGTTTTGTGTATGTGTATGTTGTGTGTGTGGAAATGCGTGTGTTTGTGTGTGTTTTTTGTGTATAAATGTGTGTGAAGGGAATGTGTGTATACTGGTATATGTATATACAAGTCTCTGTATATATGTAAATATATATACATAATATGTGATATATATATATATATATAATATATATATATATATATATATATATTATATACATATATGTGTGTGTGCATACATAAAGTCACACACGTTCGCATATAAACAAATGTGCAAGTTTATGCAACGAGAACACGTATTCAAAGCTGACACAACCTGCAACCTTTTCCGTCGCCGCCTCCGCACCATCCAGCTTAAACCGAAACTCGTGGAAAAGTCTTCGAAGTGGACATTCTTCTTGGTTTCGTCTCTGTTGAGTGATCTCTGGGACTACCCCGGCGAGACAGAGGACCAAGGTCGTGAACTCTGCTATATTTCTGAAGTCTTTCCAATTTTATTTTTTCAAAGTTGATAATGGATGAATGCCAGACTGGTGCTGCATATTCACACATTGGTCGAAGGAAAGTCGTCATTTTTCTTAGCCGATCTTATCTCTTGTCTATTTTTTAGCTAAGTACTTTGTTGCATCGATGTTTCTTGTGTAGGCTTTTTGTCTTGCCAGGATAAGGTCTTTGATCCTGTTGGTAACCCATGGTTTATCTTGATGGTGAGTGGATGTTCTTTTTAAGGCGAAGCAGTTGTCAACTTGATTCCAGACTGATGTAGAGAATAGTTGGCATTTAGTGTTCGGGTCGGGGGCGTTGAGACCGTCGGCCCAGTCATGATGAGTAATCCATGATCCGAACTCGCCAATTTTAGAATCAGGGAATCTACGAATAAGTTTTGTTCCTTTTAGTTGCGTGGGTGCCTGGTATTTCTTTGGTACCCAGAGAAGCGACAAGTGATCATTATTGCCTAAAGGGGGCAGGGAAGTTGGACTTTCATAA